TTGTTGTTTGGCGGGTCTGGGCTGGGGATTCAAACCTGCCACCTTAGGTGTACGTGGCTGGTGCCTTAGCTGGTTGAGCTATAGGCGCCGAGCCCTGAATACAGGTTTTAAGGGCTTGGGTCCTTTTATTCAGATTTTTTTTCAACCAAACATGTATTGAAAATAATGGTATTTGGCCAGGCGTGGTGGTTCATACCTATAATCCTAGCACTCTGGGAGGCTGAGCCAGGTGGATTACCTGAGCTCACAAGTTCAAGACCAGCTGAACAAGAGTGACACCTTGTCTCTTAAAATAGCCAGGTGTTGTGGCAGGCACCTGCAGTCCCATCTACTCGGGAGACTGGGCAAGAGAATTGTTTGAATCCAGAAGTTTGAGGTTGTTGTGAGCTGTGACACTACAGTACTCTGCAGAAGGTGATAAAGTGAGACTCTGTCTTAAAAAAAAAAAAAAAAGAAAGAAAGAAAATACAGTATTCATAAAATTCAAAACCTTTATATAGGGAGGGTCCTGCCAGGCTGACTGCAGGATGATTTCAGCACGTCTGGGTGGTCCTGACCACCCCATATGTGTGCAGTGAAGGATGTCAGTAATCCCTCAACAGTACAGTTTTGCTCTATTGACTTTGCTATAGGAGTCTGAGGCTGCAGTGAGCTGTGAACACCCTACTACACTCCATTCTAGGAGACAGAGACCCTATCTCACCCTATCTCAAACAAAAAGGCCCCAATGTACACAGTTGATGAAGGGGAAGGCCAAGCCATTGAGTGGTATTTTCAAGCCATTTAGATAATCTTAGGCCAGGTGTGGTGGTTCACACTTGGCTCCTAGCACTTGGGAGGCCAAGGTAAGTGGATTACCTGAGCTCAAAGGGTTCAAGACCAGCCTGAGCCAGAACTAGGCCTTGTCTTAAAAAATAGCTGGGTGTTGTGGTGGGCGCCTGTAGTCCCAGGTACAAGCAAGAGAATTGCTTGTGCCCAAGAGTTTGAGGTTGCTGTGAGCTATGATGCCATAGCACTCACCAAGGGTGACCAGGTGAGACTTTGTCTCAAAAAAAAAAAAAAGATAATAAGATGGTTTGTATCAGAATCAGAATTATCTCTCATCTTTAAGTTAAGCACTCAAAGAGCCCTTGACTGGGCATACCTCACGTGCAGGGGTCCTCTTCCCAAAATGACACTGAAGACTGCCCTCCCCTACAGGGGAGACCCGAGTGTTTGGGGCTTACCCATCTTGGTCTTTCAGAAGTAAGGAACTACATCTGTGATGAGTGTGGCCAGACTTTTAAACAGCGGAAGCACCTACTTGTCCACCAGATGCGACACTCGGGAGCCAAGCCTTTGCAGTAAGTGTGGGCTGGGTGCCTCCCCAAGGCTGTGACTGGCCTAGCCCCCTCACACGCCTCTGTCCCTCAGGTGTGAAGTCTGTGGGTTCCAGTGCCGGCAGCGGGCATCCCTCAAGTACCACATGACCAAACACAAGGCAGAAACTGAGCTGGACTTTGCCTGTGACCAGTGTGGCCGGCGGTTTGAGAAGGCCCACAACCTCAATGTACACATGTCCATGGTGCACCTGCTAACACAGACCCAGGACAAGGCCTTGCCCATGGAGACAGAGCCACCACCTGGGCCACCAAGCCCTTCTGGGACCACAGAAGACCAGGCTGTAAAGCCTGAGCCCACCTGAGGACTGTAGGTGGCTTGTGGGCACAGCCAGCAGCCTGACTCCTGCACACACCCTACCCTCCCACGTGCACAGCCTCTTGGAGTATCTCTAGGGCTCGAGCCAGCAGCTTGGTGTGTAGCTCACAAAGCCTTTGATCCTCTGTTCTGGGACCAGTGGTTATGTTCCTGCAAACACCAAGTAACATGGGGCCAGACACAGATTATAAATAATTGATTCCTTTTTCCCACTAAAGCAATCAAGGAGGTTTGTAATAACTTTTTAGTGCAACAAGAGCTCCATGTTTTGCTTATAATAAATTATTTACAAAGGAGCCAGACTGGTGCATGGTGACGCGTCCAGGCAGAAGAGGTGGGGCTCCTGGTCCAAGTTGCCATCAGGCACAGCCCGCTGCCTGCTCAGGAGGGCGGTACGCACTTCAGGGTCGCAGTCCTTATGGTCAGCCAGCAACTGTGAGGAGACAGGTGCACTTAGCCCACAGCCTCTCGGGACACAGAACCTGAGCAGCAGAACCCGGGGGGTGGGGTGTGGGGTGGGAGGGGAAAGGTGTACTGCTACGTGATCGCTTCGTGGGCTAAACCTGAGGTGTTAAAAACAAACCCCAAGGTAAGCACCCTGCTGTTACCTCTGTCATGTTTGAGAAGCTCTTATTTGGACACTGAGGTATTAAATGCAGCAGAAAAAGACGAGCTTTTGTTATCAGTTCTACAGGGTTGCCCTAGAGAGGAGACAGGTGGCCGCAGATAAGAATGTACACTGTGATGGAGCAGCACCCCACCACCTGCAGGCTACATATTGCCTGGAGGTAGGCCTGGCCCTGGCACCTGCCTGGCCCTGCAGCTCTGGGCTTCTGCTGACCAGTGTTGAGACTGCACTCGTGTCTCCAGCCATGAAGAGCTGGAGCAGCTTCAGGTACATGTCGACAGCAACGTGCAGGAAGACCTCCTCCCTGATCGCAGCACCGTCTTGGAAATAGGAGAGGAGACTAGGGGGAGAGACATGAAGATGAGAGCTGTCATGCTCAGCAGATGTGCTGCTGGCAGCCCTGACTCTGCATCTGCATGGCCCCCCCAGCCAGCCTGCACGTTACCTGTAGAAGGCGACAGGAAGCAGCCTAGCATGCTGACCCGGGACTACACGGAGCAGGAGATGCCCCAGCCCAGCATCTGTAACACCAAGGGGAGGGTCAGTCAGTTCTGGACACTACTCCCTGTCACCAGGCTGGGGACAGGATGAGGGTGGATGTCCTCACAAGGGAGGACACGGCCTGGAGATAGGGGTCAATGGGCAGACACATGGCAGGCTGCCTGTGGGTCCAGCTGTCCCAGAGTGGCACTCTGGGTCCCAGTGCTCCCACAAATTCTCTTGTTGCTTTAAATAAGTTTGTACTGAATTTACTCCAAGTAAAATGGAGTTTATGAATTCAGTAAGAAGGTAAGTTCATAAAAATGAATTTGTAAAGTGACCCCAAGGAGGGCTTACTCTTGACTAAACGTTGCTAGAATGCTGACAGTTGGTAAGAAGGTAAATTCATAAAATGAATCTGTAAAGTGACCCCCAAAGAGGGCTCCCTCTTGGCCATTTGAATGTTGCTAGAACTCTCAGTGACAGTTGCTGTCAGCACCTTAGCAGTTGACGTCACCGAGTCAGCCCTCAGCGTACATCCGGGTTTCTCACCAGTCTCTGTCAGCTGAAAGAGTGCCACCCAGGAGATCTTCCTCTTCTCCAAACATTCCAGGACCTCAGCACAAACACCCAAAGCCTTCAGAGAGTCACCAGCATCTTGGGGCCCAAGACAAGAGGCCTGCAAAAAGCTGAGTCTGTGCATTGGCCTATGCTTATGTGAACAACAGGGCCCAAACCATCCGTGCTGGAGAGGGCTTTTCTCCTTTTTTCCTCATTCAGAGTCTTAAAACGGGAAAATCTATAGAAGGTATCACCCTGGGGTCCCCAGCAGGACACAGCTGGGAGGCCAGGGACCCTCTGGTACCCATATCCCAGGGTACTATGACAACTTCTAAAATTAGGGCTGACAGCTGGGTGCTGGTGTCCTGCCCATGGTGGGAAAGGCAATCTGGGCCAGTACAGTCTGACTTACGTTTGGTGACAAGTGTGATGACAACAGACCCATCAAGGAAAAGAAAAAAAGGAAAACCAACAGCTGCAAATAAAAATATGCATTTATTACATTAAAATTACCTGTGTTCTGTAATTCCAAGTAATGTACATTCCTCTTTAACAGAACCTTTCTCAGCTAGAGTATAAATCCTTTAAGTGGGTCTTCTCAGAATAAAAAAATTGCTTAATGCAAGTAAATTATTATTGGCTTGGTCATTTTATACTTGCCTCTAAACACAGCTAAAAACAATTTGGAAAAGTGACAGCACCCTGGGCATGTGGGCAGTGAGGCGTCCAGTCAGGAGTGTGCATGTGGGACCCTGACCTGGAGCTGTTGGGGCAAGTTTCCTGGGAAAGCTGCCCCCTCCTCACACTCTGGCCTGAAGGCTTTGGAGCCATTAAAATCCCTTCTGAAAATGGACTCGGAAGAATCCTTTGTGGGTTTTTTACCTTGACCCAAATCCTCAGCTCTGCTACTGATCTAGTTTTAGGTCTGTGTAAGTTGTGAGCTAACTCAGGGACCTACCCATTCAGGAGTAGAGGACCAGGGGGAAACTCGCCCCCAACTCTCTGGGATGCCAGTCCCATCCCTGTTCTCTGCTTTTCAGTGAGTCATAGGTTCTTGCATTCATTATAGGAACAGGTGGATGCCACTGGTCATGGGGAGAGTCGAGGCCTGTCCTGGGCCTAGCAACCAAGTGGGCACTGGGTCTAGAGTCCAGAATGGCCCCTGGCCTGGGGCTAGGAGTGATGTCCTCTGCTCTGCCCCTCCTTGCACTGTGGCTGTGGACAGCCCTACCACTGCCCCGCACCCCTAGCACTCTGGCACCATGTTCCGTCACATATGCTCAACTGAGCTATAAATTCTGCCGAGTGACAGACTTACTTCCAAGTAACGTGCCAAGAACTCCAAACCTCATATCTGTTCCTGGAAAAAGGTGATTCCTGAGAAATACTCTGATTAAAAGCAAATTTGCTAAGAAAAAAAAAGTGCAAGGACTGGGCATCTCACCTCCTCGCTCACAGAGTCCAGCCTCTGCAGCTGCCTCCTGACGTCCTCCCTCCTCAGTCCCTGAATCGCAAAGTGCAAAGCGGCAGCCGAAATCCAGGCTGGCTCAGGTGAGGGGCAGGCTGCATCAGGGGAGAGGAAGCTGGGACAAGACAGCAACATTGTCAGGGCCTTGCAGCCACATTATAGCAACCATGTCCTGTCCTGCCACGACAGTCTGCACAGCTGTGGGACTTACCTTTCCAGCAGAGGGCATGAGCTCAGAGCTGCTAGGAGCACAGTCTGCAAGTCTGCACCCCGACATGCTCCTGGCTCAGCATAGGCAGGCACAAGGGCTGCCCTAGGTGGCAATGCTGAAGCCCATGGCCTGAGAGCTCCTATGGACGTGAGGGAGAGGCAGGGCTGTGCTGTGCTTCTCTGGGCTCTGATTGCCTGCGCTGTGGAATGAGAGCCTTTATGCCCTCAGTTCTCCACACCTAGTCCTGTGCATGGGTCACCTGTCCCCTCTTGAGATGGAGGACATAGGAGCACCTGGCTACCACTGTGGTACCTAACAATTCTCCAGCAGGTTTAAAATGGGAAGAAATAAAACATAATGTAGTTGTTTAAGAAATTGTAAGTGATCTGCCTTTGTTGGATTAGGTAGGTAAGGCTACTGGTTTCCATTTTCTGAACAGATTTCAGAGCTCTAGTCACAAAGATGCTCTCCAAGGGCGTCTAAAGGCATGATGCTCCTCAAACTGGCTGACTTAGTGGGTCTGAGGAGGGCATGTAAACCTAGATTGCTGGGCTGACTGGGGTCCATAGGTCAGGGTGTGGTAAGAATCTGTACCCCTAACAAGTCCAAATGACACTGCCAGCCCTTGGTCATTCTGGGACCCTATATGTAGTTTTGGGTAGGGACAGGTCAGCAGGAAAGACCTGCTGGGTTGACCCCTGCTAAGATCAGCCTTTCAAACACTCTCCAGCTTCCCCTCAGACAGAGTGAGCAGAGCTCAGCTCCTTCCTCCCTTTCCACATAGATCTTGTGAAGGCCACCCTTGGATGCCCATGAATAGCCCAGAGCAGGCTCCAGAGTGCAGCCAGGCATCTGTGCCCATATCCTGTAGCCAACACATACCTCCTGGCAAACCGCTGGCTGTCTTGCAGCCTCTGTAGCTCCCAAGGAAGTGGGGTCTGGCAGCGTCGCCTCCACACACACAGCAGCATGGGCTCCAGCCTTGGCCACCACAGCTGTGGAGAGAAGGGCACTGAGGGGCAACCTCCCTTGGCTGGAACTAAGACTGAAAAGCCTTGAGTGACCAGCATGGCTACCACTCATCTGTCACCTTGTAACTGAATTAATAATTAAAACTTTAAGACAGGGCCTGCTGGAATGCCATGCCTCATCATAGCTCACGGCAACCTCAAACTCCTGAATTCAAGCGGAGCTTGGGCCTTAGTCACCCAAGTAGCTGGGACTATAGGTGCCCACCACTGTGCACAGTCCACTTTATAACATTTTTAGTTTTGGAGACAGTCTTATTCTGTCACCCTGGCGAGAGTGCCATGGTGTCACATCTCACAGAAACAACAAACTCCTAACCTCAAGTGATCCTTCTGCCTCAGCCTCCTGAGTAGCTGTGATACAGGCATCAGATGCCACTACACCCTGGCTAGTTTCTCTACTTTTAGTAGAGATAAGGTTTCGCTCTTGCACAGGCTGGTCTCAAACTCCTTAGGTCAAGAGATCCACCACTTCAGCCTCTCAAAGTGCTAAGATTACAGGTGTGACCCACTGCTCCCAGCCCACTTGGTAACCTTAAAGCCAGTACTGGGCGGTGCCTGTGGCTCAGTGAGTAGGGCGCCAACCCCATATACCGAGGGTGACGGGTTTGAACCCAGCCCCCAGCCAAAATGCAACAACAACAAAAATAGCTGAGCGTTGTGGCAGGTGCCTGTAGTCCCAGCTACTTGGGAGGCTAAAGCAAGAGAATGGCGTAAGCCCAAGAGCTGGAGGTAGGTTGCTGGGAGCTCTGAGAGCATGGCACCCTATTGAGGGTGACAAGGTGAGACTCTGTCTCTTAAGGGAAAAAAAAAAAAAAAAACCAGCCAGGCATTGCAGTGGGCGCCTGTAGTCCCAGGTACTTGGGAGACTAAGGCAAAAGACTCACTTGAGTCCAAGAGTTTGAAGTTGCTGTGAGCTGTGACACCACCACTGCACTCTACCAAGGGCAACAAAGTGAGACTGTCTCAAAAAAAAAAAAAAAAAAGCCAGTACCTCATTTCAGGCCCAGAGTGACCCCAGAATTCTCATCCTCACGATAGAAGACATGAGTCTGGTGGGTGGGGGACCTGCCTAATGAGGCTCCCCAAGTCCAAGTGCCACATCCTGCTGGTAGCTGTGCAGTAAGCACATAACTGTGCCTTTACCAGGAAGTCAGGACAGCTCACATTGTCAGGACCCTGACCAAGCTGGCAGAGGCACCAAGTTCACCCTGCACAGCCTGGATCCCAGATATGACATCAAACACAGGCAGGTGTCTGCTGAACACAGCCAGGGGCTGAGGCAACCCCTCTATCCCCAAGTCCTGAGACAGTGAGGTCAGACACGAGGGTCAGACAGCGAGGTCGTGCCATGGGTGTGTGGGCACAGCCCTCAGTGAACACACAACCAGAGATCCACACCCAGGGACACAAGGGTTTCTGTGGCATTTGAGATGAGCATGGAGGGACAGTCCCCATCACTGTTGCTAAGGCCCATTTTGTCCCCATTTCTCCTACTGTAACTAGGGTGGAGACAGCAGGAAACAATAACACTAAGGAGCTCAAGGAGGCTGCCAATCCTCCCTCATCCCAAATGCAGCCCTGAGAAGGCAGCAGCCTACCAGAGCAGACGTCAGTAGTAAGGGGCATCTGGTCTTGCATTCAGCCAGCATGAGGTCAGCCACCCGGGGGGGTTCTGTGGTCCGCAGACAGGTGTCCAGGAGGCCCTGCAGAGGACAGCACAGCAGCAGCTCAGAAGTTTGTTAAGACCCATACCTGTTGTGAGACCCACCTGAGGACATGCCTGGGTTACCCTGAAGAAGTGGGCGGTGATGTCGTGAGTCAGGGCATCTCCGCGGGAGCAGAAATTTCTCTGTAAGCACAGTTCAGGGAGACCAGTTGGGAAGGGCCACAGGGGAAGGTGAGACTGCCATGCAGTGACCGCTGTGAGGGTTTAGCCAGGAGCAGAAATCGTAGGGCTCAGGAGCCAATGTGGTCAGCATGAGCTGATCCCTGGCACAGCTCAACCTCCTGCCCAGCACACTAGCTCAGGCCCAGACAGATGGGTTCTGGGGGCTGGGGAGGGGCTGCAGCGGCAGCACTGGGGACAACACCACTGCCCGGCCACCCACTCACTTTCCTTTGCTGACCAAGCACTTCATGTTTCCTCATCTAACTGCCATTCTCGGATAGCTTCCAGTAAAACCACCTTTAGCAAGAATTTAAAGAAAATCATAAGGAGGGCTGGGCCCAGTGGTGGTGCCTGTAGACCCAGGACTTTTGGGAGGCTGAGGCAGGAGGACCCTCAAGCCCAGGAGTTCCAGCTGCAGTGAGCTGTAAGGACACCACTGCACTCCAGCCTTGGCCACAGGGTGAGACCCCATCTTAGAAACAGTGGAGAAAAGGCCCTTAGGAGAAGCTGCCCTCCCCACACATAGCAGATGGCAGCCTCACTCTGTCCAGGCAGCCCCAGATGTTGCATGTCTGTGAGTGCCACCATTTTCTGTCCCTTGTGTCTGAAAAAATGTAAACAGGGTTGTCTAGCAGATAGCAGGCATCATGTACACAGGAAACATGTCAAAAATGCAGAATGCAATGGAGGTGTGGGGAGCACAGTGGCCTGCAATGCCACATGGGTCCAAATCCTGAACAGAACTGTGAGGGAGAATGGCCTATGGCTGGTGTCCCCGCTGGTCTGCCCATGTGGCCTGCTGACAGGACCACACCCCTCCTGTACCCTGCACCTACCAGCTCAGAGTTGACCAGATGGAAGAAGTCCTCACAGGTGGGCACGGTAGATGGCTTGGCCTGGATGCTGCCAATGAGAATGGACGGGGGCAGGCAGAGGAGGAGCCTGGGAGAAGGGGACAGTGAGGGCACAGCACACACTTCACTTACCGCTGCCCAAGCTCAGAATGCCCTTGGACTGGAGCCTGTGATCTGCGTCCTGTCTCACCACAGCCCTGTGCTGAGTTCAAGTCTGACCGGGCCCCAGCTCCTGTGGGTGTCTTGAGGGTGTTACCAAGGAGCAATCTCAAGAAGCAGTGTAAACCAAGCGAGAGCACCATGTCTGCATCATGGGGTGAGTCCCTGACAGGGACTGTTGGCTGTACCCTCCCCACACCGCAAACACACACAGTGGCCGCTGCTGAGCACACTCCCCTCTCACTCTGTGGGAGCCCTATGCCTGTCCTCAACAGCCAGTCCTGAGTCTGAGTAGAAGATTTTAACCCAAAGTACCTGTCAAACTCCCAGAACTCGCACTCCAGGGGAAGTGCCAAGGAGATGGGGCTGTCACAGGCTTAGGGTGGAGATAAAGAAACATGTCTGGCACTGCCCGGGGGTTACCATTACCGTTTGCACATGAGAACCTCTTGCTGTCTCTGAAGCTGGTCCGCCACATCCCAGCTGCTGGGGAGAGCCTGGAGTCGGCTGCGGAAAACCGCAAAGAGGAAGTGCCCCTGCGGGGGGGAGTGGCCTCCCCACTGCATCTCCAGCTCCATAGCCATGTCCTGGAAGAGAGCCAGGTCATGGGCACTGCAGACTCACTTCTGAGGCCCAGAGAGCCAAGTCTGGGGGAGAGGACCGCAAAGGGCTGAGGGTGAGAAGGGGCAGCAACAAGTGGGAAAGCTGTTTCTCCTAGATATCCTTTTTTTTTTTTTTTTGAGACAGAGCCTCCCTATTTCGCCCTCAGTAGAGTGCCGTGAAGTCACAGCTTACAGCAACCTCAAACTCTTGGGCTTAAGTGATTTTCTTGCCTCAGCCTCCCAAGTAGCTGAGACTACATGTGCCGCCACAATGCCCAGCTGTTTTTAGTTGCAGTTGTCATTGTTTAGCAGGCCTGGGCCAGGTTCGAACCCGCCAACCTTGGTGTATGTGGCCAACACCGTAACCACTGTGCTATGGGGGCCAAGCCATCTCCTAGATATCCTTTTTAAACTGCAAAACTAAGACAACAGTGCAGGGGACACCCACACCCTTCATGCCCACTTTCTCTGTATAGATGGGTTATATGTGCACATGCAATGTTTTTCTGAACTATGTGAGGGTAAATTTTGAACATGAAGCTCCCTGCTTTTTTTTTTTTTTTTGGCAGTTTTTGGCCAGGGCTGGGTTTGAACCCACCACCTCCCGTATATGGGTCCAGCACCCTACTCACTGAGCCGCAGGCGCTGCCCTAAACATGAAGCCCTAGACCCCAAACACATCCGTGCATGTTCCTCAGGCTGGTTCCTCCCCTCTCAGCCATGAGGCTCGCGCATCATATAGGCCTATAGTTGTGTCTGTCCCATCAGCTGCTAAATGACTGCCCAGAGGACGCAGGCCAGGGTTGGAGGGCACTCTGCTGCCACAGTTCACAGCCTCTTTTATTCAGAAATATTCCAGAGTCTTTGTTTATGGCATTGGCATATGTAAGGAAAAGGACTGTGAGGCTGGGTACAGGGCTCACACCTGTAGTCTCAGCATTCTGAGAGGCTGAAGTAGGAGGATCCCCTGAACTCAAAGTTGAGGTTGTTGTGAGCTAGGCTGAGGCTACTGGATTCTATTCAGCGGTACAGAACAAGACCCTGTCTTAAAAAAAAAGAAAAAGTAAAAAGTAAGAGCCAAGGGACTCTAAGTCTGACAAAAAAAATTCTGAATTCCATTTTGGAACTGCGTTCAGATTGTGTGTCCTCTTCTTTTAAATATTTTTGATGGCTCGGCGCCTATAGCTCAACCGGCTAAGGCGCCAGCCACGTACACCTAAGGTGGCGGGTTCGAATCCCCAGCCCGG